AAGGAAAATATGTAAAACCTAGTAAGAAGCATTAATAACTACCACATTTTCTATTAACTTAGTAAACCCAAGCTTCCTCTGAGGCACAACAACTGAAAAAGGCACCACCATTTCATATGAAAAGCTCCAGGAATGTACCTTAACACTCTGACCTTATTGTATGAAATATCTTTGCTATATGGATTCTCAGCATTCAATAATTTTTTATAGCAGTAAGATTTGACCTATAGAAATCTACTTCACAAATGTCATGATATATTATGACTTTGCTATTTATAAGATTTTAGTAGATTTTTTAAAAACATAAGCAAAGTTGGGGAAAATGTAAAAAGAAATAATCTCTCATCACTCCCAGTACAGGCAAAAAAAAAAAAAAAAACTAAAGTGTAAAATAAAGAGAAGTGGCACTATGGTATAAGGAATGTATCTGGATTGCAATAAGTAAGAATGAGAAGGCATCTAACTTTTACCAGAATTAAAGACCCTCTTCTTCACAAGGAGCTTGAAATTCTCCTACACGTGTATATAGTCTGTTCTCTTTTTTCAGATTTTCATATCACAGCTTAAAGTTCAGTGTCTTTTTCACTTGCTTTGTATTTTCTTTTATAATAATCTGGGAAAAGAATAAGATGCCAACTAACCTTTTAAAAACTATACATATTTGGGGTGATATATAGGATATAAAGAATTTTAATTTGGCTGAGCCCCTCGTCAGTAGGGCAAGCCCCCTTTGGAACGTATGCTAGACAAAGTTATGACCAATCTGTCTTTACACAAATAACCAAAACATTGAGGCAAATTTGTTTCCTAGGCAAGGTCCTCTCTCCAAATATTAAAAAGGTTCGCACAAATCATCCTCTGAACTAACCAATGACTTGCAATATTCTTTTGAAAGTAAAATTAAATCACATAAACTTTAAAATCTTGCATTTAAATCTTGGAATGTTCAGATGCAAAGATTCATGGTAATTTGGTTTTAGCTTAAGTTTTTTTCTTTGATGCTGTTATGCTTTTATGGAAGGGGAAAATCACACTTTAACTAGTTGCTACCAGTTTTTTATGTAATAGAATAAAATTCAGATTTCTTGCCACACCTTCCAATTCTTACCAATTTTTTCACTATGGCTCAACCAGTTCTCTGTTCCAGACAAATTAATCCACTTGCAACTTTCTATATAACATATTACCTCCCACTTATGTCCACACACTGCTATATAAAATAGACATGGGAAAACTGAAAATGGTGATAGTTACTGCAACTATTTATCAATCTTACTGACTATTCATTTAAAATCCCAAAGAGAGCTTCCACTATAATTAATATAACTTCTTACAATCCTATTCTATCCCTTAAGATAAAGATATTTAAAAAAAGCAAGTCATAAAATTATGCAACTTAATGCACTTGCAGATAGAAGGGACTTTTTAAAAGCAGGACACACTCTGCTCATTTCAGTGATCCTAAAAGCACCTACTTACAGAACTATGGCTAGTCCTGTCCAAACAGTTTGGCCCACCCTACTGACCAGAAGGTGCCATGCTAGACCAAAAGGCATTAGGTCTGGCCTAATGATTATTTTGAAATTTTCTGGAGGGAAAAGGAGCAGATCTCATGTACACCGATGAAATATAACCCATCTACAAATGCTCTGGTATAGTCCAACCCAGAACATGTTATGATCCTATTCTTTGCCCCACATTCACGCACCTACCCTTTAAATATTTCCCCTAGTTTCCTTCTCAGAGCCAGGCTAAGTTCTCTTTTCTGGCAGTGGTTTTCTTGTGTTTAAGCCTATAAAAAAGCCTTACCTAGGTCAACTACACCTCATACTTCCTAAAATCCCTTCTCCAGATGGCAAAGGATCCACTCTTTCCAGTGAGAGTCTACATCAAAATGGTAACTACTGCTCTCCCTGTTTTAAAGACTGAGTCTAACAATGAGAAAACTAGAATAAGACACACATAATTATTAACAGCAAACCTAGAATCAGATCCCTCTGCCTTCAACACAAAGCTCATATACACTGCTATCTAGCACATACTCATTATTTACCATTCCAGAATCTAAAGCCGGCTCAAAGGAAATGAACAGCTGATAGACAGTCCTTTAGAAAAAGACAAGTTAACGCCCAAAATGTTAAACATATTTGAATGCCCAAGGGAGGTACAACAGATGTCAAAACATAAGTTATATGCACTGCCGTCAAAAAATGAAATGATAAATCAATTAAAAAATATGTAGAAATGAAACATAATACTGAACCAAAGTACCAATTTTTTTTAATACCTTGAGAAAAATGAAAATACAACATCTGAAAATGTATCAGACATAGCAAAAGCAGTTCTAAGGGGGAAGCTCACAGCAATAAATGCCTGCATCAAGAAACAACAAAAATCTCAAATAACCTAACTTCATATTGAATTAAAAAGAACAAACTAAGTCCAAAGTTAATAGAAGGCAGGAAATAACAAATACCAGAGCTAAAATAAAATAAAAACTAAAAGTAAGATAAATAATAAAACTGAAAGTTGGTGTTTTTCTTTTTATTAAATAAGATTTAACTGTCTTATCAGTAGCTCATAATCACTAGCTTTCCTACTTCTCTGTAGGAGAATTTCCCATTCTTACTACCATGACTTCTTTGTTGCAACCCATAAACGTATCTTTGAAGTGATTGTTTCTTTTCTCCAAAGGTTACCCATTTATACAATAACAGCTACAGATGCCTCCTGAAGACTGGGTGTCATGGGAAGAATATAAAAGCTGGGTTTTTGGAAAAAAAAAAGTTAACAACTTTAAGTTTGACTCACAAAGATAAAAGAAAGTATTAGGTAAAGAAAATCAGAAATGAAGGGAGAAACATCACAACTGATACCACAGAAACATAAAGAACCTTGAGGTTACTATAAAAAATATTGGAATCATAAATTGGAAAAACTAGAAAAATAGACTAATTCCTAAAAAACAGACAATTGATCAGACTGAATCAGGAATATGAAAATCTTAAAAACCAATTATTAGCCATTAGTTTCAGTCACAGCAGCAGTATAAAGGACCGGGGGGGGAAAAATAATAATAAACAACTACAACCAGAGAAATTTTACCAGAGTGGAGTGGGGAACAGGATCAAAAATGGGAGTGGGGGGAAGGAGAAGGGCACTGGACTATGGTGATGGCACATGGGTGATTTGGTGATAGGGAGCCCATGGAGATTACAAATGAGATGGAAAAAGGCACAGAATGATGTAAAAATAAACTATTATTTTATTTTTTAAAAAATCAACTTTGAAAAAAAATTAACCAATTACTAGCCATCAAAACCTTCCAACAAACTAAAGTTCAGGACCAGACAGGTTCACTAGTGAATTCTATCAAGCATTTCCAAAGAATTAATACCAATCAATATACCTCAAACTGTTTCAAATAACAGGAATACTTCCAGACTCATTTTTACAAGGCCAATTATCACCTTGGTACTAAAAATCAGACCCAAAAAACCCCACAACAGAACAAAATTAGAGGCAAATATCACTGATGAACATAAATGTAAAAATCCTCAACAAAAGAGTAGCGAATCAAATGTAACATTTCTAAAATCAGTCAACATGGTACACAGTATTAACAAAATGAAAGATGAAAAATCATATAATCACCTCAATGCAAAAAAAAAAAGCACTGGACAAAATTCTATATCCATTTATTATTTCAAAAAATTCAACTACAACAAGAATGAATATTTGTGTATAGCAAGAACTCACTCAATTAAGGTGATACATAAAAATTTTACTGCCAGTATGGTGAAAAGCAAAACAGTCCTCCTCTAGGACCAGGAACAAAACAGTGATACCCACTTTTGTCACTTTAATTTAAAAAAAAATTGAAATCTTAGCAGGTACAATCAGGCAAGAAAAAAAGTAAATAAAGGCATTTCATTGTGTAAAGGAGAAATAAAATTCATTATTTTATTTGCAGAAAACATATAGAAAATTCTAATATCTCCATCAAAACATTTAAAATACATGAATATAACCAATACACAAAAATCTGTTGCATTTCTATACACTAATATTAGCAAAGTATGAGTAAGAAAATTACCATTTAGGTGAATCAAAAAGAAAATACCTGAGAATAAATTTAACCAAGGAAATGAAAGGACTATATCTTGAAAACTACAAAACACTGATGTAAAAGATTGAAGATACAAATAGGCAGACAGTCCATGCTCACCCAGTAGAAGAATTAATATTGTTAAATTGTGTGTACTGCTCAAAATAGTCTATAGATTCAATGCAATCCCTTAGTAAAATTCTATTTCAAACTATAGTGCAAAGCTATAGCAAGTCAAGAACATCATAATGGCATTAAAAAAAAAAAAAAGAACTCAAAAGTAAGTCCAGAAACAAACCCAAATATACACTGTCAATGAGTGTGTGACAAAGTCGTCAATATTATAAATAGGGGAAAGGACACTGTCTTCAATGAGTGGTGCTGGGAAAACTGGAGAGCCACATGCTAAAAACTGATGATCACTATTTTATACCATACACAAAAACAAATTCAAACTGTATTAAAGGCTTGAGCATAAAACCTGAAGCCATAAAACTTCTAGAAGAAAATATAGATAAAAATTACTTGACATAGGTCTTGGTAACTTTTCATATTTCATACCAAAACAAAAGCAAAACACACACACAAATGTTCACTAGTGAACTACATCAAACTAAAATGTTTCTGCATGGCACAGGAAACATCAACAAAATGAAAAGACAACCTACTAAGTAAGTGAAAATATTTATAAATCACGTATATGAAAAGGTGTTAACATGCAAAACATATAAAGAACTCATACAACTCAATAACAAAAATCAGATTATTTAAAAAACATAAAAGATTTGAAAATACAATTTCCCAAAGAACACATACAATGGGTAACTGTCTTGAAAAGGTATTCAAGTATCACTGATCTTCAGGGAAATGTAAATTAACAATGAAATATTACCTCATACTTGTTAGAATGGTTATAATCAAAAAGACAAGCAATAAGTGATGGGAGGATGCAGAGCACTGTCAGTGGGAACGTAAGCTTGTATAGCACTATGGAAAACAGTATGGAGGTGCCTCAAAAACTGGAAATAGAAGTACCATATAATCCAGCAAATCCACTTCATGGTATTTGTCTGAAAAAAATGAAAACACTAACTCAAAAATATATAGATGCATCCCCCTACTCACTGCAGTAATATTTCCAATATCCAATATATATAAACAAACTAAACATCAACAGATAGTTGAATGGAAAGGAAAATGTGATATGTATACAGAATATTTAGTCACAAAAAAAGGACATCCTGCCATTTGCATGTAAAGGACTTAGACATGGTCCTTGAGGGCACTATGCTACATGAAGTCACTCAGATAAAGAAAAGTACCCTACAGTCTCACTTATATACAGAAACAGAGTAACTGAAACTCAGAATAAGAAAAAAATGATGACTGCCAAAAGGTGAGGCTAGGCAAAATGGGTGAAAACAATCAAAAGATATAAATTTCCAGTTATAAAATAAGTGACTCTTGGGGATGTAATATGCATGGTTACTATAGCTAATTATATTCTATTGTAGATTTGAAAATTACTAAGAGACTATAAGAAACTGCCACCACAAGAAAAAAAAATCCTAATACGAATGGTAAGGGATGTTAACTATACCAATTATGATAATCATTTCCTACCAAAACTATGTTATATACCTGAAACCAATATGACAGTGTTAATTTTATCTCAATAAAAAAGGAATTATTTAGACTTGTAAATTAAGAAACTGATACCCTAAATTTCCTGTCAAAAATAGTATGGCTAGTTGCTGTTTTTTTTCCCCTCCACTTATACAACTTAAAAATAAGTTTAAAAGACAATATCTATAAATATATTTAAAGTTGGCTGAACAATGCTAAGATGAGGCAGCCTATAGTCTTTTCTGTTATTTTACTGTTCAATCTATGTTTTCAATTTAATGAGAGCTAAAATAGTACTCTTGACTCTTTATGCTTTACTCTTTCTTATACTTAATTTCCATATTGCCTATTAAAGACTTTCTTCATTCCACTTTCTCAGAAGCAGTTCATTTTAGTGTCTGTTTCAGGTAGAAAAATGCAATCCCATTCATCACATAATTGACTTCATCCTTGATTATCTTTTCTATAATCGCTCTTTTGTTAGTGATTTAGAAATTAATTTCTAAGAAGATTTAATTTTAAGAAATCTGTAAGTGCCAACATAAAGCCATCTACTGAAAATACATGCAAAATATATTGTCCTTATTTACATTATATACAAACATGAATTGAAAATGGACCAAAGACCTATCTATACCTACAGCTAAAACTCTTAGAAGAAAACACAAGGAAATGTTTTGCCACACTGGATTAGCAATGACCTCTTGCATATGACACCAAAAACACAGGCAATAAAAGATAACAGATAAATCAGTCTTCATAAAATTTCATGCAGCTAAGTATAAAACATAGTGCAAAAACAAATCACTGAATGGAAAAAATATTTGCGACTCATATGTAATAAGAGATTACTATTTGCAGTAAAAAAAAAAGTGTTATATACATCAAGAATAAAAAAACAATTTAAAGTAGTAAGATCTGAATAGCTGTTTCTCCAAAAATAGACAAAAGACTGGACCTTCCCTGGTGGCTCAACGGGTTGGGACATAGAACTACAAGCTGGCCACAGCCACTTCAGTGTGAGTTGGATCCCCAACCCCAGAGGTGATCCACATGGCACAGCAGACCTCTCCTGTCTAGCCCACTGCTCCCCTCAGCAGTGTAATTTGTAGATCCGCCTGTTCTGCTTCCCACTCTGTCTCTGTGAAGCCTCTCACCACCCCTGCACCTCTGACTTGTACCCCAGTTCTGTATGAATAAATAAATCTTTTTTTTAAAAAAAAAGGCAGACAAAACACATGAAAAGAAACTGAAACATCACAAGTCATTAAGGGAATGTAAATCTAAACCACAAGAAGCCACTTCACACCAAATAAGATGGCAATTTGCAAAACAAGAAATAAAAAAATAGAAAGTAACAAATATTGATGTGAAGAAACTGGAAATCTTGTGTATGAGAATGTAAAATGTTGCAGTCACTATGAAAAACAGTTTACCAGGTCCTCAAAAAGGTAAACATAAAATTACCGTAAGTCCAGCAAATACACTCTTTGCTATATACCCAAAGGAACTGCAAGCAAGGACTGGAAAATGTTTGTTCAATGTTCAATGCAGCATTAGTCCCAATAGTCAAAAGACAGAAACAATTCAAGTGCCCATCAGAAGAATAAATAAGTAAAATGTGATACATACACAAACATAATAAAATTTTAATATATGCTGTATGCATGAACCTTGAAGACATTAAGTCAAATAATTAAAACATAAAACGACAAACACTATACAATCCTACTTAAATGACATACCCCTAACAGGCAATTCATAATGCAGATTAGAGTTCTGCTGGCAGGAGGGGAAATGGGGAGTTATTTCTTTCTTTTTTTTGAATGTATACAGAACTGGAGTACAGGCCAGAGGTGCAAGGGCGGTGAGAGGCTTCACCAGAGACAGAGTGGGGAGCAGAACAGGCTGACTGATGAAGTACACTGCTGAGGGGAGCAGCGGGCCAGGAGAGGTCTGCCGCGCCATGTGGATCACTTCCGGGAAGGGGATGGAACTCATGCTGAAGTGGCTTTAGCTTCTTAGTGCTGTGCTTTGAAGCATCTGCGCCACCAGGAAAGAATACCCGGGAGTTGTTTCTTAATGACTATAGTTTCTATGTGGGGGTAATGAAAAAAAGTTTGGAAAAAGATAATGGTGATGATTATACTGCTGTGTGTGCATTTAACATAAGGAAATGTACAGTTAAAATGGTTACAGAGAAAATTTTCATGTTATGCATACATTTCACAATACACACACAAAGTCTTTATTCTAAGTTTAAAATCCTGCTCACATGGACCACAAATTTCTGTTAAATCTCAGTGCACAGTGCTATCTAAAACAATTTAAATTTATACTGACTAGTCAAAACAATACTTAAAATTATATAAAGACAATATGTCATAATTTTTAGGTCAAACTATCACCAAATAAAATACTTTGAGAAATAGTTTAAAATTGGTCTTAAGGCTCAAGACTACTTTGGTATCTTTTTCTGGTCACATTATTCATTAGGGTAAATCCAAACTATCTACATGATTATAATAATTATAATTGATCATTATGCTGTTAACATATCCTGAGCTTTCTATACCACTGCAATCTTTCTGTAAAACTAACATTATTTCAAATTTTTAAATGTCCTGTACTTTCTCTCCTTCAACTAAATTACGACAAAGTTGACAAATTCAAGAAATACTAACACAGTAAAATCCAACATTTACCTTGTTGTTTGATAAACAATCTACATTAGAATAAGACTTAAGTCACTGAGTTAAAAGATATCTATTAAGAATTTACTCTATTACAGATCTCTGGCAGATGCTAGATACTACCTTCAAGATTACAGTTGGTAAGGGAAACAAAAGTGCTGATCTGTCCACCTGATTGATGAAAAATTCAGGCTATAATCTGATGATTAAATAACAACAGGAACATCATTTATAATGTTTTATAAGGTTAAAGTATGAATGGAAATATCTGGGACAAGTAAAATCTACAAATAGAATATTAGCACCTATATATCTTAACATACTCTCTATACTTATTTCATGTGGGAGCTTTAAATATAGTAATTATTATCTAATACTTCAAAAAGTACTCAAATATTTTCTATCAAAGATTTTATTTCTCTACTCAAGAAAATAGCTGTTTGATTTAATATCAGGCATGAGTAAGAGAGACGTATGATAATAAAAATATCCACAAAAATCAAAATGAGTTAAACAATTCTTAAGAATAATCTCAGAAAAAGATAGTAGATGAATTTAAATACAATTAAGGTATGATTTAAAGGCAACTAATAAAAAAATAAAAATATATATATAGTACTATACATTTTGTAAAGAACTCAGTATGAGATTGGACTCATTCTCAAAAATAAATTCTCAAAAATAATAAAGCTTAAAAAGAAAAAAGTTCCATCTTCCCTCCTCCAAGTGACTCAATCAATATGGTTCAGATGTTAACATCCTGATCTTATTAACACTACTCATCTCAAAACTTGGGAAATAAAGGAACCACACTATTCTCCAATAGGCCTTTTCAAATACAAAGAAATGGCATAGGATGAATCTATATATTCTTAAAGACAGTAACAAGGATTATGTATATTTACAATATAATACAAACATTATTAAAATTCAAACCCAAGTAAAAAGTCAGATCACTCTGAAGAGATGCTCTGATTACTGAGATTCATCCCTGTCTCAAGTATCAACACCTTGTTATAAATCTCATAACACTGAAATTTCTACTTGTTTTTCTAAGATTTAGCATTAGTCGATCAGAAATCTTCACAATACTAAGACTCAAGGGCTGATTCTGTTATCAATTTATTTGAATTTAGCTGATAGTACATATAAGAAAACATTGTTTCCAATCATAATAAAACATCTGTCCAGCATATAATGAGAACAAGGTGGAACACAAGAGGCACAGTGCATCACACAAAAAGGAATGGTTCTTTAAACAACTGCACATCTGTATGCACAAAACTCAGAGGGCAGGAACCAAGTCAGAAAATGTTTTCTCCTGTCTACATTTTCATTAGGTAGTCTTACTCTGTTTCAAAGCTTTTAAATACCATTTAACACTAAAAAGTACAAGGTGTCAAAGTAAGTGAAGTACACTAAAACTTTAGAGAAGTGGAGTGAAAAAGATATACATATTTCCTTATATGTATACAAACTATATATTTGGAAGGATAAGTAAGAAATCCTCTAACATTTTTGGCTCCAACCAAAACAGGATGACTGGATAATGGGAGACAAGAAATAGTACAGCTATTTATTCATTAATTTTGAATCATAGGCAGTTTTTATTCAAAACACAAATATAATAAACCAACAGATAAATGCTAATGATGACTCCTCTCAATCTTTCTCTCCCCTCACTAGATTTTAAGTCCCCTG